CACATTTGTTAGTGAATTTAGAGATGTCTTCATTGATGAAGGATAATGTGCTATTGTCCTTGTCTTTCTTATAAGTGCTGATAATTTTTTTAGTGATGAGTTTGTCATATACAGCAGGTTTAATTTTATAGATATTTTTGGATTTGTCAGCCTTAATCCATAATTTTTGAGAGTTTTTTTTTAATGTTTTTTTATGTTTTGAATATCTTTACTAATTTTAGATTGGAAGTAGTTGGAAGATTTCCTAAGCTTAATCTTCCTAATTAAATATTTTCGGTTTTCTTTTTGAACTTGCAGGCCTGATGAATTGGGTCCTGATTACCATTCCAATGTAATAAATTATAACCATGAAATATTAGTGTTTGAGTCTTTTATATTATATGCTTGCTCTGTCTTTGACATAGAGCTCTACCTGGATTCTATCATCTAGGAAATATATATATATATATATATATATATATATATTGACCACTAATATCATCATTATATATATATATATATATATATATATATATATATACATAGGAATTACCATTCCAATGTAATAAATTATAACCATAAATATATATTTGATATATATATATATATATCTTGCTCTGTCTTTAAATATGTAGCTCTACCTGGATTCTATCATCTACAAATATATATATATATATATATATATATATATATTGATATATATATATTATATATATATATATATATATATATATGATATAAATATATATACATAGGACCATGCACCTTTTTCTTTATATATTATTTTATATAACACCACCTAGTAGCCATTAGCAGAAGTTACCTGACAGACAGGTGGGGGTAATCCTATAACAGAAAACATTCTAGTGTATGAATAACAAATATTAATTACCTGCATGTATTTCTGATTAAGGACTGACATAGATCTCTTATTTTATGAAATTCTTATTAATGTCATGCAAGAACTATCTATAAGTAGTAATCTTTTTCTATTTCTTCATAATGTTCATTATTTAAATATCTTAGATGGATGTATTTGTTGGACTATTTTAAAGGCCATGTTTAGCACAAAGCAACATTTCTCAAGGTCTTATTGAGGATCAAGTTTATTGCCAGTGGCTTGTGAAAGTAGTATACTGACAATTGCAATATCATGAATGATCTCTAGAATTTTTTATATAGAAATGACCATTACCTTGTATTAGGCACTGCTTTAGGCATTGAGGTCAAATTTAGTTTGGCAAAATTCTGATTTTCTTGGGAGTAAGGAAACTTTCAAGCAATATAATGAAGAAAGAATTCTCAAGTAATAACAGAAGAACTGACTTTAATATTTTTTGACAGATTTGACTCAAAGATTCTTGAGTGTTTGGAAATTTCAGGAAATTTTCCATCTTGTTAAATCCCTCACATGTTATTCTTGACGTTAAATAAATGTTATTGGCAGCACTTGATTTTGCTTTTATTACTAATATCTTTAGCGTTACTTTGATGGGCCTTATTATGATTTTGTGTTTTCACACAAGTAACTCTTGCTGGAGATCAAGTGACATCATGTTCTACTTCTGGTCTGGACTGGTGCTACTGCTATATATCTAGAGATTCTTGACAAAATCCAAAGAAGAATCTGTAATGTTCTTGTTCCTGACTTGGTATCTCAACTTCAATCATATTTCCATTGCTATAATGTAGTTTCTCTTTGTATTTTCTATAAATATTTTTATGGTAATTGTCCTGAGCTTTCGTCATTGGTACCTCAACTTCAAGAATTTAAGTGCAGTACTAGATTGGCAGCTAGGTCTCATAATTTTGAAGAAAGTTGCTAATTGTAACTGTAAGTTCTATGCTAATGGCTTTTTCTCTTGCACTTCTTGCTTGTGGAACTCTCTCCCATTTCTCTGCTTTCTGTCAACTATGATCTTCAAAAATTTAAATGCAATGTAAATCATCATCTACTGTCTCCTTGAATCTGGTTCTTTTATTATCCTCTCTGTTTCTTTCACTTTTAATAATCATTTCTATCTTGGTGGTTTTATTGCCTGCTCGGAGTGAAAAGAAAAACTCCAGCAATCTTATCACTATTCTTGTTGATTTTAGTAAAGCTGTTACCTGGATGATTTTGACTTTTTATTTTATTATTATTATTATCATTCACACATTCATTTCCGACAAGTTGTACCTGGTGACTTTCACTAGAGATCAAGTGACAGCAAGCCTCTTGAATATGTCAATACTTTCCTCAGAATTCCAGCTGATTTTTATAATGCTCGTGTCTGTATACTTTCAGTTTTTCATTAGATTTTGAGTTCTTCCAATCTCTTTGCAAAGCACTTTGGGATTGTTTCAAGCATGCCAATAATGATGGGTAGAATGTTCCCCAACCAGGATTTAATATCAGTGGGCACAATCTCAAGATGCACAGATAACATTGTGTTGGTGGCAGATACTGAAGGAAAACTACAGGATTTCCGAGGCAAGGTAGTACAGGAAAGCGAAAAGAAAGGACTAACCATCAATTGTAAGAAGACAAAATTTATGGTTGTCAACAAGAGAAAAAGCCCAAGATGTAAACTATAAACTGAAAATGTCAACATCAAATGAGTACAGAAGTTTAAACATTTGGGTAGTATTTTAACAGACAATGGAAAATGTAAAATCAAAATCCAAATATGCATTAGAATAGCAAAAGATGCCTCCCAAATCTAGGCAAAGTGTCAAGAAACAAGAAAATTTCATTAGATACAAATAAAAGAGTGCTGATAGTGATTTTCCGAGTGTAGCTTAGATGTGGCACAAGGCCGAAAGTATGGGGTACCCAGTGAAAATTGAACTCACTACTCAATTGTAATTGTTCTAACGAGACAAACTTGCTAACCATTACACCACCACAAGGTCTCCAAGAAAAGAGTGCTGATATGCTATGTAATATTAATCCTCCTACATGACAGTGAATACTGGATGATTTCCTCACAAATCGAGGCAACAGAGATGTAGTTCTACAGAAGGATGCTGAGAATACTATGGATGGAGCATGTAAGGAAAATGGAAATAAAAAGAAAATTTAAAATTAAAAATAGATAGGTGATATTACTCAGATACATAATGTGGTAAGTCCCTGGAGAAAGTAACACAGGAACATATTGAAGGCAAAATGGACAGGTGAGGCAGCAGGTCACCTACCTGATAAACTTGTGTGAATGGATGGCAGAACAGGAGGTGGGAGGTATGGTAAAAAGACAAATGTTACTAAGAGTTAAGGATAAGAAGTTGTGGAGAGCCATGATCACCCATATTCTGAAGAGACAATATTTGCTTACCATCAATTATTTTCTTTCTTCTTCTATGTGCCATATCTATTCAGGATGTTGGAGATCATGGCTCTCCACAACTTACTATCCTTTGTAGCCCTTAATAAAGTTTGTCTTTTTGCTATAACTCCTAATCTTTGTTCTGTCAACCATTTACACAAGTTCATTAGGTAGATTATTTACATTGTTTGGACTATTGTCCTCATCTTTGTCGACATATTTATCACAACGTTTCAGCCGTTGTACACTTCAGCCATCATCAGGTGGTTGGAATGTCGAACTGAACCACCTGAAGAAGGCCAGAGCATACAACGGCTGAAATGTTGTGATAAATATGGCGACAAAGATGAGGACAATAGTCTGAATAATGTAAATAATGTACATAATCCCTCATCTCAGAAATATAGACAGACTCTTTCATTAGGTAGGTTTTGCAATATTTCATCTGTCCTTCTTGTCTTCAATATGTCCTGTGAGTGTCAACTTTTCTAAGCCCACTTTCCTCATTATGCGCCCTAGAAATTTCATCTATCACTTTCTGATGCTATATATAAGTGTCCTTTTTGTTTCCATTTTCTCTAAAAATTTGTTGTTGCTCATGTGTTCAGTCTATGATATCCTCAGCCCCCTTCTGTAGAACCACATTTTTGTTTCTTCAAGTCTCTTTTCCATCTGTGATGAGATGGTCCAGCATTCAATGCCATATAGGAGTACTGATATTGTATAAAAATTCAGTACTCTTTTCTTTATTTCTAAAAAAAATTCCTGTTTCTTAATACTTTGCTTAACTTTTAGAATGCATTTTTTGCTATTCCAATGTGCCTTCAGATTTCGGCATCATATTTTCCATCCTATGTTAAAACACTTTTGATATTTAAATTTTGGCATTTGTGTAATTTTGGTATCTCCAATTTGTAATTCACATGTTGGGCTGTTTCTTTTACTGATTCTATCTTCTTGCAGTTGATGTTTCGTTCTTTCCTTTACTACTTTCTGTAGGAGTTCTTGTAGTTTCCTTTCTATATCTGCCATCAGCACTGTGTCATCTGTTATTAAGATTGTGGCCACCAATAATGAATCCTAGCAGAACTTCTAATTCTCTCAGAATTGCTTCATTGTAAACCTGTTCTGAGGTTTTTAGTACAAAAAAAATGAAAGCTAATTGCATCATACATATATCATTTGGTTGGCTGTATTTCTACTATGTACAGAGGCTGACACCAATCCTTTTACTGCAGTCTCTAATCTTTTGACACTTCAGTTTTCATGTATTCTTGTATGTGGATGTATGTATGTTGTGAAATAGGGCTGCATTTTTTGTTGAAGAGAATAACTTTGAGATTAAGACAACATATAGATATGTATTCACAAAAATGGCAGTCTGTTTAACATGAGGTAGCTTCAGGCTCACTCAAAGGCAATGAAGCAGCTGGTCAGAGAACTTCTATTTACTTATGAGACAACCCTGGTCACTCATACTGAATCAGCCCTGCAGTACATAACATCCTGTTTTTGCAAAGGTTATAGAACACTTTGATCTTGAGGTCAGCTTGGAGAAGTCTAATTCTCTCCATTGGCTAGCTTATTATTATATATATATTTATACATACATATATATATATATATATATGTGTGTGTGTGTGTGTGTGTGTGTGTGTGTGTGTGTAATATATCATAAATTATAGATATAAATATGAGTGTTGTGTAAACAGATCAAGAGATATATGAGATAGATAATGTTAATAGACTGAAATAGGTAGATACAAACATACTGAGATAGATAGATAGATAGATAGATAGATAGATAGATAGATAGATAGATAAATAGATAGATAGATAATGAGAAATATAAACTGAGATATGAACACTGGTAGATAAATATGAGAAAACTAAAAGAGAAAGGGAGAGAGGGATGGATATGAACAGAATTAAAATCATAACTAAGAACTGAGATAAAGAGATAAGAAGAGAAAGTTGGAAAGAAAGAGAGACAGGTATGAACAGAATTAAAATGATAGCTATAACCAAACTGAGGTATATACGTAGATCAATAGAAAGAAACAAATGATGCGTATAAACATAATTAATAAGATAGATATGAAGTGGCTGACATATTTTGTCACATTCTGTGTTGTCGGCGCATGATTTAATATACCTTCTTGACATAGATAGATAGATAGAGAGAGAGCAAGAGAGAAAGAAAGGAAGGATGCAAGATAAATATGAACTGAAATAAAAAAGATAGATATAAACAGACTGACAGAAAGAAAGAAAGAATAGATGGATATAATTAGTGAAAGACAGATCAGAACAGAGAGAGCTAGCTAATGATACACTAAAGGTAAATAAAATGTTGAGAGAGAAAGGCAAATATGTACAAAATTAAAAAGCTACCTATGAGCAGAGACAAAGAGAATGAAAGAGATAGAAAGAAAGAGAAAAGGATACAAACAGAATTAAAAAGACTGATATAACCAGATTGATATATATATATATATATATATATATATATATATATATATATATATATACTGAGAGATAGACAGACAATGACAGAGGAGGATTAATAGGGATGAACAGAATTAAAATGATGTATATGAATACACTGACACAGACAGATGGATAGAAAGAAAGAGATAGGTGGATAGACAGGTAGATATATAGATAGAAAGAAATGGACTTAGATAAAGAAAAATTAACTTATATAAATAGAAAGAAATGAACTTAGAAAGAAAGAAAGAAAGAAAGAAAGAAAGAAAGAAAGAAAACAATGAACTTAGATAGAAATGGACTTAGAAAGAAATGAACGTATATAGAAAGAAAGAAAGAAAGAAAGAAAGAAAGAAAGAAAGAAAGAAAGAAAGAAAGAAATGAACATAGAAAGAGATAGAGAGAAATATGAACAGTGAGAATAAGATTATGAAACATGAAAGATAAATAAAATGTTGCTTTCTCCTCAAGGGATAAAGTAAAAGCAGAATAATGAGATAATTTGCAAATAGTCAATGCATAATTTACATGTAAAAGAGTATTTTATTTTCTTTTAACATTTTTGCTAATGCTGATGTGAAGTAATCAATAGAAAAGTCTCCCTTTTGTTTGGTCATGTGAATTGACAACACATGAATACTTTACAAGCTGCATTTTCATCTTGCACTGAAAGAATGCTTCATCAATCACTGTGACTAGAATTGCAACTTGGGTGGTAAGGGAGTGGCAGCATTTGTTAGAGGGTGTGGCTGGTACAAGGCATTCTCTCTGCTGCACAACATTTTCTTTTTCACTATAACATATTCATTGCATACTTTCCATGATAATTACAAGAAATCTGATAATATTTTTATGCAACTATTATTATAGAATTATGATTATAATGGTTAACATCTATTTTCTCCACAGAGGAGTATATATATATATATATATATATAACATTTATTCAGTTAGCATATTTTGCCCTGTTGTGGTCACCCCACAACCCATTGTAATTGTGGTTCATGGTGAAATTCAAGGAAAAACAGTGCAACACTTTCCCAGTTCCTTTTGCACCAGGGATGTTGAGGCAATACCATCCTCCCTCTCAGATGTTGCTCTTCCCATTGGTAACTCTCTGAGTTTCTGAGGCGCAGCTCCTATGCCCAGGTTGGCGAATGGCCAATGGCTGCTTGGCACAGCTGGGTTAGGTAGAGGCATTCCCCTTCACTGGTCAGGTCAGGAAACCCATCCGACTACTCTCACGCAGTTTAGCTGGCAGATCAATGCTGTTGACCAGGGTGTGGCTGTTGCAGTGCCCATGCGACTTCTTGGAGCCATGTATGAGAGTTGGGTGTAGGTCATGGACCAGTACAGTTCTGCATAGCAATTCATCACTACCACTAATGATACACCATATGTAATTATATATATATATATATATATATATATATATATATATATATATATGAAGAAATATAGTTTTAAAGGTGTGCTATATTTACGGGTTGAAGTGCTCAATATTAGAGATAGAGCATATATAAATATAAAAGTGAACATCTAGCATGAAACAGCCTGTTGCCTCTGAGTGTTGACTTCAATGTTCACTTTTATATATATATATATATATATATATATATATATATATTATTAAAATACACCTTTAAGTGCTGAATCGAGGTGCATTGTCAGTGTCATTGCTCCCATGTCACTAGAAGTTTTGGGTCTAAATAAACAACAGACTTCTTCGATGGGCAACCCGACCAAATATGATCAGTATTCGTCCCGCACCCAGAATAGAATTTGCCACTAGCTTTATATATATATATATAAAGTACAAGAAAATATATATATATAAAAGTACAAGAAATATAGTTCAAAGTTTCAACTTTCTTAAGTCATCATCAGGGTAGATATAGACAAATGGTGAGTCTCATAGAATTAGTGAGTGTTATGACACATGGCCAAATACTCACTTGTTCTACAACAGAAAATATGACACTGAAATCTGAAGTAACAATGGAATAGCAAAAGATGTCTTCGAAAAGTTAAACAAAATTTTGTTAGAAACAAAGAAAAAAGTGCTGAACTACCATATAATATCAATTTTTCTATATTGCAGTTAATGATGGACAAACTCCTCACAGATGAAGTGAAGACTTGTGATAACAGAGATGTTGTTTTACAAACAGATGCTGAAAATATGTGTAGACTCTTGCTGCTTGTTTCTTCTTAGCTGATCTTTTTCTATTTACAATCCAGTCTTTATACTTTCGCAACTTTATTGGCAACACATTTTCCTGTCATCATTGATATTGGTTAATATCTTCATTGTAGACTCTTCTTGTTGATAATTTTCTAATTACCATACAGTTTTTAGACTTTCACATTAGTTATAAAATACACCACATTTTATGGTAGATAAGTTATATGGACTTTCTCATTTGAGTAAAAAATATTCAAGAAATAGTAGTTGTTTATGGTAGTAAATTTTAAATATTAGTTTGAGGAAGATCCTTATCTTCACACATCAAAGGCAAAGTGACATTTTGTTCAATCATTTGTTTTGTTAACAGTTGGAGTGCATTCCTTGGTGACCAGGTAAAACATGTTAGGGCTTGGCTGGGAAGTTTTTCACTCATCTGCCATATTCATTAGATATTGCACCTCCAAACTACCATTTATAATTGTCTACAGAGAATTCTCTTAATGAAAAGAATTTCAATTCCATGGAAGACTACAAAAGACACCTTGAGCAGTTGTTTGCTGAGAAAGATGACACATTCTGGAAGAATAGAATTAATAAGTTTCTCAAAAGATTGCAAAAGTGAAACAAAATAATAAATATGTTGTTTAATAAAGTCAATGTTTAAAGTAAAAAATCTCTTTTATTTTTACACAATGAATATATCTTTGGTAATAGCAATGGTGAAATTAGTCATTTTCCTACAATAAATATTCATTGACCGAACAGTTAGTGTCACAGTTTGTGGTTCTTGTTATTTGCTAAAGCTCTTCATTTGTGATTTTTTAACTTCAGTCTTATAGAATTTGATGAAGGACTGAAAGATTTATTAGTTTAACAGGATTAATCTTTTGTCTCCCAAATAAAATATCTTTGGAATGTAAGAATTTGATGGGGATAACAAGGATTTACTGATACAAGTTCTACTAATTCACCCATAGCTGGGGGAGAAGAGGTGGAATCATAGATTTCCCAAGGGTACTTGCACATAAGTTAATATAATGAACCTGACTGGAATTGAAAATCAGCTATCTGATTTCCAATTTTGATCCCTTATCCATAATACCACCCACACATTTAAGCTTACAGCACCTAGTATTCCCAAGTAGTCACCAATCTAGATACTGAACAAGCTCAATGTTCCTTAACTAGCATTTAAACTTGATATAGTCATAAGCCTCTTCAATCTATGAAATTAATTGATATAATTCTTACTATAAAACTGCTTATTTCTTTATGCATCTGTGAATCTGTGATTAATTAATAACTCTGCAAAACCAAAAATTAAATTTCATATTTTATTGAAATTGTTCATTTTATTTATTTGATTCTATAACTCTTTGTGGTCATTAAGAGGAATTCAGATTCATGAATATCAATGAAGTTTTTCTTATTTGCTTCAAAGAAAAATCAGTTATGAAAAATCAATGATGAAATATCAATATTGAAAGATTAATAATCATCATTTAACCAAGAAATAAAATAAAATAATAAAAAGTCTTCACATAGTCTTAAATATGTTATGAAAATCTTGACAAAATCTTTAGGATATGATAATATATTTCTTATTTAATTTGTTATCTGAAATTTGATGTTTGCCAGGATTTTAACCTCAGTAGCTAACACTGGAAACAGACTTACCAGCAATGTATACATTCAAGCACTCCCTTTTTCTCTTTTTTTTTTAATAATTACAAGTTATAATCATGATGATTAGTGTTGTTCTTCATATATTTTTCTGCCACTGATTGTGATTGGATGATGAAAAGGCTTTTGAAATACTTTGTCTTTTGATTTTCACTGAAACAAATACAGTTAAAACATGGATCACTTAATATTTCTATCCAAATCTGGATTAGACAATGTTCATTATTGTTGAATCATAAAACTTTTACTAGTATCTTGAGAGTGACTTTATTTATCTGCAAAAAACACTATATTGTTTTGGGGCTTAAATCCTGATATTCTGTAAGGATTTCTGAAAATAATAAAGTTAATGTCACAAAAAATGCAAATTTTAGCTCACATGTATTATTATCTTCTATCAGAAACATTGTTAGTTAAGTGCCACATGTGATACATGATTGGGCGATCATGTATTGAAAGATACATGACTGGTGAGGCAGAAGATTTTTCTTGCAATAGGTTGCTGCTTCTTTCTACATTAGACTGGTTCCTAAAGAACCCGGTCTGTCCTGCTATTCAACCCATAGATGGGAGGACAAGAGATAGATTCATACCTTTCCCAAGGTATTTGTGTGTAAATGAATATAACGAACTCGACTGGAATTTGAACCCAGCTCTCTGAGTTCTCATCTCAAGATGATATCCACTACACCACAATGCATTGCTTAAATTCAATTCAAAAATAATCTCTAATGAATAAAATAGAGCTTTGGTTGAATATATATAAATGGAAATGATTACACCATGAATTTAAGATATGTTTATTACCATTCTCCCCTAACTCTTGTTTTGCATTATCTTTCTCCATTTTTTCTTCTGTTCCCTTCTTTTCTTTCTTCATTTTCCACTCCTTCTCCATGTTTTTTCTTATTCCCATTTCTCTTTATCCATTCACTTTTTTGACTCATCCTAATTTTCCTTATACTTTTTCTCCTCCCCCATCTTTTAGACAGCTCTCTTTTCTTCTTCTCTTTCTCTTCCTGTGGTCCTTCCCTTGATGTCTTTTTCCTTTCCTGATTCTCATTTAACTTTTCTTCTCCTCCTCTCATTTTTATCTCTTCTTCTCCTCCTCCTCTCATTTTTAACCCTTCTCTTCCTCCTCTCATTTTTAACCCTTCTCCTCCTCCTCTCATTTTTATCCCTTCTCCTCTACTCTTTCACCTTCTCTTCCTCCTCTCATTTTTAACACTTCTCTTCCTCCTCTCATTTTTATCCCTTCTCTTCCTCCTCTCATTTTTATCCCTTCTCCTCTACTCTTCCACCTTCTCTTCCTCCTCTTCTCCCTTTTTAACCCTCATTTTATCCTTCTTCCTCCTCCTCATTTTATCCCTTCTCTTCCTCCTCTCATTTTATCCCTTCTCCTCTACCTTCCTTCTTCTCTCCTCCTCTCATTTTATCCCTTCTCTTCCTCCTCTCATTATCCCTTCTCTTCCTCCTCTCATTTTTATCCCTTCTCCTCTACTCTTCCACCTTCTCTTCCTCCTCTCATTTTTAACCCTTCTCTTCCTCCTCTCATTTTTATCCCTTCTCTTCCTCCTCTCATTTGTATCCCTTCTCTTCCTCCTCTCATTTTTATCCCTTCTCTTCCTCCTCTCATTTTATCCCTTCTCCTCTACTCTTCCACCTTATTATCTTCTTGACTTCTCTTCCTCCCCTTTATTACTACAGAGAAAACATTTTGACTGGGGTTTTCCATTCTAATTCCTTGTCTTTCATCAACAAAACAGATTTTTATATTTTTATTTATTTATCTATTTATTCATTTTCACTACTGCACTAATCACTTATCAGATACAATCCAATATTAAACCATCTCATTAAATTTATTTGTTGGTCCCCATCCCAAAATATCAACCTTATAACTTTCATCAT